TGGACCCTGAGCTAGCTATGTTGTAGGATTTGCTGCGGGCCGTACTGGTGAATTCATGACATTAGCAAGAAGATGTTTTCCATATGCACAGATGACCTGTCGTCAGTTATACTTCATTTTCAGGTTTTATTTAATTTCCGCTCGGAATTTATCAGTGTTTATGATGCCCAGTACCAAAAGAGTTGAAAATCAGAGACAAAAACAATACTTTGTCTGGATCACTATCGGGTTTTGCTTCGGTGGGATGGGAGGCGTATTCAGTAGCGGACTATTTAGATTAACAGAACTGAAGCTATGTGTACACTACATTCTGGTAGCCTGGAAAAACTCTGCCTCATCCAGGGAACACATCGGCTGTGTCTACATTGGCACCCTTTTCCGGAAAAGGGATGCTAATGAGACAAGTCGGAATTGCAAATGCCACTGGGGATTTAAATATCCCCCGCGGTATTTGCATGAACATGGCTGCCGCTTTTTTCCGGCTTGGGACTTTGCCGGAGAAAAGCGCCAGTCTAGACAGGATCTTTCGGAAAATAAAGCCTTTTCCGGAAGATCCCTTATTCTTCTTAAAATCAGGAATAAGGGATCTTCCGGAAAAGGCTTTATTTTCCGAAAGATCCTGTCTAGACTGGCGCTTTTCTCCGGCAAAGTCCCAAGCCGGAAAAAAGCGGCAGCCATGTTCATGCAAATGCCGCGGGGGATATTTAAATCCCCCGCGGCATTTGCAATTCCGACTTGTCTCATTAGCATCCCTTTTCCGGAAAAGGGTGCCAATGTAGACACAGCCATCCATTTTTTTGGATCAGTTCCCAAAAAAAGCGGACACGCTCTTTCAGAAGAGGAAGAAGGGCCAAATGTTGGAAAAGCCTCTTCTGATAAAATAATTGGAAAAAGGTACACAAATTGTGGCTTGCAATTTGCATACCTTTTTCTGAAAAAACCCTGTAGTATAGACATAGCCTCAATGTGGTTTCCTGCAGAACTAAAACAGACCTGAAAACACAATGGCATGTCCGAGCCTGTGTGCATGCCTGTTTGTGGTGTGTCTCTTCTGGACCAACACACAGCTTTTGCATACACACACACACACTCATGCATTTCCTCTAACTCAGGGGTGAGGAAGCTTTTTTGGGTTGTGGGTCACTGACCCACAGAAAAAAAAAATCCTGATATAGCCCCCAACTAAGAAGGAAAAAGACACTCCCCACATGTCCCTCTCACACTGTCACTTTACTGGATTTTAAAAGAAGCCAAACCATTGCTGCACTTATGGGGGGGAGGTGTTTGCCCCAAAGTCTATACAAAGGGGGCCATGTGAGGTGTCAAATAAAAGCTTCTGTTTTTCTGATTCTGAATATGCTATTCATGTACTTGTATAATATCTGTATGTGGTGTTATATGTACTCTGTGTTGGTGCTGGAAAATTCTCTACCTGAGACAGAGCAATAGGCAAAGAATGTTCAGCCAGTGGCTATGCTAATTAGCAAGGAGATGTAGTAAGTTGAGGGTCAGTAACATGGAGTCAGCAGGCCTAAATAGAGGCCTGTAACATGAAAACAGCAACAGGGCTGCAATCTAGTGAGCAAGACTTTGGTTCAGTAACCCAGAAGCCAAGAAAGAGGCCCTACTGATAACTGTGTAATTGTGTAAGTTAGGTCGAGCATGGAAGGACACAGGGAGGCACTGGGTACAGACTGTAAGCCAAAGGGGAGTAGCGGAACATCTTAATAAGAAATGTCTTGGTACAAAGACTCCCCAAAAACTAATGCACATACCGACCTAGGTTCAGGACCGGGTCGAGATTGACAGCATGAAGGATAGTAAGTAAGCCCCCCTTCCGTAAGGTGAGGGGTGGTATCTAGGCAACAGAGGTGGCAACTTGGTACGTAAAGAAGTGATGTAAGTTATTCTGCACATGGATGAGCAAGATTACTGGGAACATGGCTTACCATCTATTTTACATGGGAAATAGATATTTAAGTACCCAGAGTGCAAATATTTACAATGGGACAAGCTGATCATGGGCAGAGGTAGGTCTACCACAGCTTGATGTTGACACCAGACAAATTCAACTTGGAAAGCATAGAATTACAGGGCTGAAAGGAATCTCAAGAGGTCATCAAGTCCAGACAACTGCACCATTAAAGCACCATTCCTGACAGGTGTTTGTCTAACCTGCTCTTATAAATCTCCAATGATGGAGATTCCACAACCTTCTGAGGCAATTTATTCTAGTGCTTAACCATCTTGACAAGAAGTTTCTCCTAATGCCCAACCTAAACCTCCCTTGCTGCAATTTAAGCCCATTGCTTCTTGTCTCATCCTCAGAGGTCAAGGAGAATAATTTTTCTCTCCCTCCTCCTTGTACCAACCTTTTAGACACTTGAAAACTACTGTCCCCTCTTTTCCAGACTAAACAAACCCAATTCTTTTCAATCTTCCCTTACAGGTCATGTTTTCTACACCTTTCATCATTTTTGTTGCTCTTCTTTGGATCTTTTGCAATTTCTCCACATCTATCCTGAGATGTGGTGCCCAGAACTGGACACAATACTCCAGCTGAGGCCAAATCTGCAGAGAGTAGAGCGGAAGAATGACCTTTTGTGTCTTGCTCACAACACTCCTGTTCATGCATCCCAGAAAGATGTTCACTTTATAAGGTGTGAGTTTTAACGGTGAGGGTGATTAACCAGTCCCAAAGGAATCTCCGTTTCTGGTAAATTCCCCATTGAGACAGGATGGCTTGCTCACAGATCTGCTCTAGAAATTATTTTCTCCATCCTGTGTTTTCCAAATGAGGATGTTTCCCATGCTCAAGGCATGAGTGAGCCTTTGCCACTCCTTCACCGTCATCTTCCTGTCATGCCAGGCCAGACAGGGAGAGCGGGGCTGGGGGAGAGGTCAGCATACACAGATGGGTGTGCGAAAAATGGAACAGGGAGGCTGAAATCTCACCCTTTTGCCTTGCTCATGGGAGGGTGAGATTTGAGCCTCCCTGTTCCAAAAAGAACAGCATGGTGCCTGCGGGAAGCAGTACGGCTTAGTGGGTAGCACACAGGCCTGCAAACTCATATGATCTGTGTCGAAATTCCAGCTCATCCACTGGGCAAGTCATTTTACCCACCCTCCCATGCCTCTGTTTCCCCACTTGTAACACGGAAAAGGCAACTGGTACTAGCAGTTGAGCAGTGACCCAACATGGCTGTGACTTAGCTAAGCCCCACCCCCTGCAGCTATGCTAACCAGTGAGAGGCAGGGGATGGATGGCTTTCCTAAACTGGGAGGGTTGGGGGATTCAGATTGGGTGCCTCCATATTGACATGGACAGAGTGAAGGGTTAGACCATGACCACCAATGGCCTGGGTGCAACAGACTTCAGGCTGCAGGCCCAGAACTTACGACAAGACCTGCACCCCAGTTACCAGTTGAAATTTGCCTCCTGTGCTCAGTGACAGTAGCTGGTTTTGTGTGAGCGCTGTATTCAAGAGCCTGCTGATAGACAGATCCTGCCCCATTGCCCCGGCTCCCCTTCAACAAGCTACAGAGTGTGAGCTTCAAACCCCCCCTCCCATTCCCTGCAGAGGTACCACATATTGACAGCAAAACGGGTGGGGAAAAAGGAGGGGACCTTGAGGGAGGGCAGAGGCCAGGATGGGGAGAGTAAACTCTGTACAGGGAAGTTAGGGGCAGAGACTTGGATATGGGGGGGGAATAGACTCACCCAGGGCAATTGGGGGGCAAGGTAGATTCTATGCATGCCCCACACAAAGAGGCTCAACACACACCGTGCAAAACCCCCTCTTTTTGCATGTGTCTCCTCTCCCAACTTTTCATCCACCTCCAGTGTTCCCTGTAAGCTGAGCACCTGGGTGACCACTCAGGAGAGATTCCAAACCTACCTAGCTGATTAGCTGAGCACCCGCAGCTAGGTTTGTGTTTCTAACAGTGGTGCACATTCACACATGCCTTGGTGTATGTACAAAAAATTTATTCCACACATGGATGGAAAAGGTTACAGGGAACATTATTCTCTCCCCTCCCCTCCACAGCTTTTGTGCCAAACCCACAATTAGAGCCAAGATTTGTTAAGAGTCTGTGTTAGAATTTTTATTTTTCAGAAATACACAGATGGGGAAGGGGGGACGGGTTATATATACACAAGGTGGGGGAAAACCCACTCCTCTCCCCTTCCCTTCCCCCAGCTCTGGCTCTTGATCTAGTCTCTCGATCTTCTTAGCTATTATTTAACATCTAAGGTTAGCTGGCTAAGCCGCTGGTCACTAAGGGTTTGTTCAGAGGTGGACAAAAAGAGACAGGACCCCACATTTCTCAACGACCCACACTAGCCCCGAGCACTTAAAAATGAAATAAAATCATTTTAAGAGGGGGAACAGGAGGAAGCAGGACCCTAATGGGGTTTTTTAAGAAAATACTATGAAGTTGCAGTAAACACACAAAATAACCCACACCAAACCCTCTCCCCCAAAATCCCACCCCCATAAACTTCCTAATATACAATATATATCTAGAGCCCTGCAAATCTGCAGATATCTGCTTTATATCCACGGGGAGCTGCATCCGCCGATGTGGGTGCGGATATCCACAGCTCAGATTTGCAGATCCAGAGCCAAAGTTTGTAACTGTGCAGGGCTCTCTATATATCCAAACCCCCTCCCTCCAAACCCCATCCCCATAAACCTCCTCATATACAATATATAGAAAATATAATATACATTCTATGGATTTACAGGGGGGAGTTCCCAGACCCTCACGGCCACGGTCTCCAAACATTGAGCTCCTGGGACTGGCCGGCAGAGTTCTGTGTCGTGTTCAGCTTATCTCGCGCCTCTTTGTTGCAGGTCTCCGGCTGGGGCCGGCTGGGGGTGAGGGTCTGCAGTCTGTGGCCAGCAGGGAAGGACGGAGCCTGGTGCAGGACACAGGCGGGGGCCCCGAGCGGCAGGCTGGAGCCGGGCCAAGCGGCGGCGGCGGTGGGGCCGAGCGGCAGGCTGCAGCTGGCCAAGGCGTCGCGGGCGTAGCGCCGGGGCAGGGCTGCTGTCCTGCCGTAGGCCGGGTTGGTGAAGGGGCCCCCGGTGGGCAGCTCCCACCGGGGCTGGGCTGTGATTTTTTCCATGCAGTGGCAGATGCGCTCCATGAGGTAGGCCTTCTTGCCCACGCAGATGCCTGGGCTGGAGCGGAGGAAGTGTGTGGCCTGGCTCAGGCATTCCCGGTAGCCGCTGTGGTACCTCTGCACAAGGCTCTCCTCTTGTCTCACCGGCTCTGTGGTGTGTTGCAAAAACCGCCAACGACAAAGGGGGCTAATTAGCAAACTGCCATGCAGCAAGGGGCACAAAGGGGGCAACAGGGCAAGTGCCCCAGAGTGGTCTCCGATCCCCAAACTGCTCCAGATGGGACACCCAACCCTCCACCCCAGGGAAGCCAGCGGATGGATAAATCCCACTTATGGGGCTAAGGGCAGGGTTTGGGGAGTCCCAGAAATAAGTGGCATTTGATGCCCTGGACAAAAACTAGTTTTAAATGGGGAATGTACGCAGGGCCAGAGTCTCAGCTGGTGTAAATGGGTTCTGCTCCTTAGCCTCTCAGATGTTAGGGTCACATGGGAATACTGTGGTTCCCCACCCAGGGATGCCAATTTCTCAGCAAAGCTTGGATAATTTGCACCTCCCGATGAGCTGACCTCAGGGAAATATGCTACAGACCTCAGTAAGATCTTGCTTACAATGGCTTGTTACTGATGGTGGATTAACTCTGGATTATGCCATTTGTCCCCAGGACTCAAGCAGCGGGCTGCAGCTGGCCAAAGCATCCTGATTTACAATGAGGTAAAAGAGAGGGCAGTCCGCCCTGTGACTCAAGCAGAGTGACTCTGGATTTACACAGGGGTGTGATGAAAATCCAAACCATGCCCTACCAATTGGATGTGCCCCAGTTGAAATCAACAGCAAAACTGGCCCAGACACCAAAGTTGGAGCCGGTCTCACAGCAACATGTTTGTGTGTGTGCCTGGCCCTGATGGCCATCAGAAAGCACAGGGCAAATACTCGGTGGTGCGATTTAAAAGACAGCAGGTGGGGAAAGAGAATGCTCAGATGAGCTGCTGCTGGCAACCAGGGTCTGGCAAAGACTGACAGGCCTTACCAGGCTGCAGGGGAGAGGCTGCCTATTCCTATGGGGCTCTCCTGTACGTTATTCCCACCTTCCTGACTGGCGGCAGCTGGTCGAGGGGAGAAATCTGTAGCTCTGTCTACCCCTGGGGTCTGTCAGAGGCAACGGCATCGCTCAGTGCGGCGGATCGCTCACAACACTGAGCAGCTCAGTCCTACCTAGCGCCGGCCCCGGCCACGGCCCAAGATCAGGGTCTGGTTCTGCAGCCCAGCAAACCAAAAAAAGGAGGGGCAGGGTTGAAAAGCCACAGTGGGGAGAGCAATGGATGCAAGGGGGTTGGGTTGTGTGTGCACATGCACGTGCGCGCACACACATACACCACAACCCACCTCTTCCAACACACACGCACACAGAGGTTTGTCCTCTCCAGCAGGGATACTTGCGCACGCACACACAAACATACCAGTGTCCATTACCTCCAGCAGAGGGCAATACACACCAGAACCAAGCCCTTCCTGCAGGGGGCAGCAGAGACACTCACAGATTTGTCCTCTCCAGCAGGGGGCAGCACACACACACACACACACACACACAATTATCAGGGAGGATTATTGGCCTTGCAATCAAATTCACACCAACCCTGCTCCCCAGGGACTCCATTGGAAAACTCTTGGGCCAAACTTTCCTTCCCTTCCCTTCCCCAAGCAAGCTAGTCCTCCTGCCATCAATGGAGCCAGTCCCAGAGGCCTTGTCCAGGTAAGGGCTCCCACAGAGCATCTAAACTCAGGGTATTCCTGATTTACACTGGAGCGAGAGGAGAAACTCCAACCAGTGTAAATCCAGACTGAAGGCAGTGCAGAACCAGCCCAATGGGCTCTAATGGAGCCGGTCTCCTCTCGCTCCAGAGTAAATCTGGAGCAATGCCATGAGCATCCATAGGTCTGACTCCCTGCTTACTCACCCTCGTGTAAAACTACATTGATGTCAATGGACTTGGTCCTGCCTAGGGCAGGGGACTGGACTTGATGACCTTCGGAGGTCTCTTCCAGCTCTACGGTTCTATGATTCTATGACTTGCTCCTGATCTACACCAAAGCTGAGCAAGAAGGGAATCAACCCAGTTGATATCAACTAAGTTCTCCTGATCTACTCTAAGGCGATCCACAGGGGAACCAACACCCTTTGATGCCAATGGAGTTACTCCTGATTACACCAAGAGGAGAGGGAACCCAACCCTGTTGATGCTAGAGCAGTTACTTTTGATCTACAGCAAGACACGTGGGGAACCAACCCCTCCAATGCCAACAGAGTTACTCATGATCTACACTATGTTCATGAACTTCAACCAACCCTATTGACTCCAGTGGAGTTACTCCTGTTCCACACCAAGGCCAGGGAAACCCTAGGACTCCAAAGGAGCTTGGCCAATTTGCCCCAGCTGAGCATCTGCTGTGAACAAGCTACAGCCCAGACCTAAATCAGGTGAAAGCATGTGGGAATCCCACCCTATCGGTCCACAAGGAACACCCGATGGCCAGGAGGGAAAGGGCAATTCTAGAGTGACCGCGTGTCCCAAAATGAGGGGGTTCGGAAGCTACACCCTCCACCCTCCCAAGAAACAACCCAATTTTTCACACTTGCTAGCCGATCACCGTAGTCGTATCTTGTCCGAGCCCAACTTGGGTTGGCCAACGGCCCCCAGCTCTAAGGCCGAGAGAAGAGGAGTGGGCAGGCGCGCCGAAGGGGATACCTGCTGGAGGCTGGGTCCTCAGAAAGTGAACTGTTTTTTGTAAAATTTCTGCCTTTTCAACTTTGGGGTTTTTAAGTCTCTGCAAGAAAAAAAAACAACAAAAAAAGAAGAGAGAGAAGGAAAAAGGGGGGAAGGAGGGAAAGAAAGAAAGAAAGAGAAATATGCGATGTATCATTCGGTTTGGGGCAGCGGCGGGGAAATGCGAGGAGGAAATCCGATTCGGCTTACCTCGTCCTGGGTGGCTTCCAAGAGGAGGATCCGGAGTCGCTCCAGACTACGGTTCATACGGTCCCGGCGCCGCTTCTCCATCAATGGTTTCAGGAGCTGGAGGAGGAAAACAGAGGGAGGGGACGGAGGGGGGCAGCTTTTGAAAGAGACACCCCGAAAGAGCGGGGCGATCCGGGCGGGGACCCCGCCCCCGGGCTGGAGTCAGACCCGAAGCGCGCGGACTCCGGAGTTACCTTCCTGTCCTGTTTGCTGTCCCACTGGGCTCTGGTGCTCA